TTAGTTCCCAACCCCTAGTCTGAGGTATTTTGTTGGTAGTCATAGAAAATTAAGGTTGCATCTTCTGGCTCAGACTTACCACTGCTCTTGATGGACCCTATGGGGCATGGATCACTGCCTAGACTTACAAAGTAGTTTCATTAGCAGCACCATGCATGAAGCTGAAAGATTTGCTAGCAAGTATGACCAAGTATGACTCCCCCTCTCTCCCTCTCTCCCTGAGTCCACAGTGCAATGTAGACAGTAACAAAACCAAGAACAGCATTAGGCTGCAGACACAACAAACCAGAACTTATTTAGGGTATGGAAGGAAGAGATATGCTGCCATTTATGGGACTATTCAGAGGTATGGAATAGCAACATATCTTCTAGAGACAGACACTGTAGAAATGAATGTTCTGCTTGGCCACAGGTGACATCTATGTGTGAGAGCTGTAAGTAGTAGGGAGAACTTTCTAGTAACCAGATATTTCAGAGCTGGTTATCCAAAGATAGGCAGGCCTGTCTGAGGAGCTACTGAGTGTCTCATAGTGGTCTCCTTAAGTCCAGGTTGTCCTGGGAGGATTTCAGTAGATACGTGGTTGGTTTCTTCCCTGAAGATTCTTGTTTGTTTGAAACAGGGTCTCAGCTATAGCTCTGTCTGGCCAGACTTGGCCTCCCTCTGCCTCAAATGTTGGGATTAAAGGCACACACCACCATGCCCAGCCCTTTCTCGGGAATTCTAACCAGAGATGTTGCGGGGCTTCCTGTGTGCAGACTTGGAAAGATCCTCCATTCAGGGCAGGAATGGCATTACTGGTGAGCAGAGGAAGCGGTAAGATGTAAAGAGCCATCAGAATCTCTGAGGGTAATGAAAGGAGAAAATGTAGGGGATCGGGGCAGAGAGTTGGCTCGTCAGGTAAAAGCATTTGTCTTGTGAGTCTGACAATTTAAGCAATTCCCACAATCCACTCCCATAGGAAAGCCAGATGCAAGGACACACATCTACAATCACAGCATCTCTAAACATGAGATGAGAGGTGGTGACAGAAGACCACCTAGTAGCTCTGGCCTGCTAGCCTAGAGGACACAGTGGGGAAGGAACAGCAATAGAGACCCTGCCTTCACAAGGTAGAAGGAGAGAACTGATTACTAAAGTTGTCCCATGACCTCCATGTGTGTGCTATGGCCTACTTACACACACTCTCTAATTGGTTAGGAGCACTTCCTGCTCTTGGAGAAGACCTAAAGGGTTCTTCACACACAGATCAGGCAGCTCATAACAGTCTATAGTTCCAGTTCCTGGGGATCTAATTCCCTTTTCTGGCCATAGTGAGCACATTCCCACTTGTGGCATACACACACACACACACACACACACACACACACACACACACACAGAAGAGAGAGAGAGAGAGATGCACACGAGAACACACACACAACTAAAATTAAAAACAAAAAACAAAAAACAAAAAAACCTTTAAGGAATTTTAAATAGAAAATAGGAATGCCCTTTCTGGCACAATCAGAAGTTAATCGCTTCCTCTGAGAACATCTTGACCAGGAATGTGAGGGGGGGAATGAAATTCAGTCATGTGAAAGGTTCTCTGTGTGTAGCCCTGGCTGTCCTGGAACTCACTCTGTAGCCCTGGCTGGCCTCGAACTCAGAGATCCTCCTGAGTGCTGGGATTAAAGGTATGCGCTACCATCACCCGGCTTT